GGATGGCTCTTTACTAAAACAAACTTGTAAAAAAAAAAGTACATTTTGCTCCCCTTGCCTACCTCTGTCCAGGGATGGGGGACATGACTCCTCATTAATCCCTGGTTGTCTAGTGGTGAAACTCACAACCTTCTATGGATGTAGACACCTTCACACCATTCCAGTGCTTTAGAAGTGATGAACCCTACATATCATAGAACAGAGTGAATCTGTAAATGCCTGATTCTAAATGCATCAATTTTATGTCTGTTGTGGACTTTAGGATCGTGTCTTTCAAGCGGATATATAAATGTCATGGTCCGCTGAAGGGTGCTATATCTAAAATCCACGGCATGTTACAAAGCGGTTTTGTGTTGAATTGTTTTTATTATGTTTACATACGTTAGACGTACATACATCATATTCAAACTTTTACTGCATCATCGCCAACGCAGAGGCTCTGCTTGTGTAACAAAGGTAGTAGGAAATGCGCCTACGCAGAGGCTAACTTTTAGCAATGCTTTACAGTGTCGTAGTGTTCTGTGTGCTACCTGCATATTAACTCGGTTATTTTCAACATTGGCCTATGTCAGTATGCAACTGTGGTTAACTCTTATATAGTCATGTGTGGATCGGCATGTAGTGTATGTAGTGTTTGGAAGGTCTGTGTGTTGAGTGTATGAATCCCCGGGATCCTTATCATTAGGCGTTTGGTCCCGTGGATTTAATCCCTTTTGAGGGCCACTATTGGGTGTAATATAACAGTCCGAGGTGTCGTTATCGTCAGGTCATTAATTGGCAGGGTGAGCCAGGGCGATCCGAGTACTTATTGCGCTGTGGGCCCTGGTGTTTCGTTATCGGGGTTTGGTTAGTTTGGGGGTCTGCTAGTGTCTTCCCCTAATTTACTCAGTAATTTCCACCCTCAGAGATATTTACTAAAGAAATAATTTTTTTATTTTTTTTTAAGGCGAGAGCTGCCAAATTGGAAGTGCAGATTGCTTTAAGAATTTTTCCATAGCATTTCAGGTCATAGCCCTGTCAATAATTATTCATTGTATGGCTAGCCTGTTGCTTGGCCCTCTCTATGAGTTTCTGTATTGAGTGGCGGGGTGCTGTTCGTTACCCTACTGGGTCCTATTCCGACCCGGTTCTTTTGTGGTTGTGTGGGTTGTCTGGATTGAATCTTGTAATCGGTCGGTGATTGGATCATGTGTGGTGATGTGGACGACCGTGGGTCTCGGTTTTGTGTGTTACAATATTAATGGCACGTTAAATGTCCGTGGATGGTGTGTGTTCTCCCAGCTCGATGCCTGGCTCCCGCTGGAATGCGGTTAGGGTAGTGCATTGGTGTGTCTGGGTCGTAGTAGGCGGTCGTGGTCATTGTCCTGTATTTAGTGTGTCTGTCGGGGTGGGGGAGGGAGGTCTCGTGGGTCGGTGGGTTCGCGCCCCCCCGTCGCTGCTCCAGGTTCGCCGTCTCCCGGGGCCTCACTCCGAGTCCCTCTGGGTCCGTCTGCATCTCCCTTCTCGTTCCTGCTTATGGTTCGGTGATGTGTTGTAGGAAGTCGTCTGAGTTTAGGTTTCGGAGCCAGTGAAACCAGCGTTTTGTGTAGTTATCTCTTTGTTTTGGGGTGGTTGCTTTCATGTCTTCGTATCTTCTTATGTCCTCCGCTTCCTCTACCCAACGTCTCATGGGTGGCGTACATGTCTGTCTCCAAAATATGGGGATCGTTGCCTTGGCCGCGTTAAGGAGTCTCGGGATGGCGGACCTGGTGTACGTCGGCATGGTGGTGTGGTGGAGGAGAAAGGCGGCTGGTGTCTGTGGTAGGGCCTCGTCTGTTACATCTTGTATTATTTTTCGAGTCGTCTCCCAGAAGGGTCGGATAGGGGCGCAATCCCACCAGATATGTTTAAAGGTGCCTACCGCTTCTTCGCATCGCCAGCATGTATGTGGAATCTGAGGGTTTCTGGCGTGGAGGCTTGATGGGGTTATGTACCACCTGGTAAGGATTTTGTAGGAATTTTCTTGTAGTCTCGCCGAGCCTGGCGTTTTCTGTACATGGGTAATAATCTTGTCCCAGTCTGCGTCCGTTAGGGACTCGTTTAGGTCCTCCTCCCAGTGTCTGATGCATGGAGGTGCCAGGATGTATCTGTTTACTATGATGGCTGAGTAGATATGCGATATGGCCCGGGCTGGTTCCTGGTCTTGTGTGCACAGCTGTTCGAACTGCGTCGGTTCTCGTAGTAGGTATGGTTTTTAGGGAATTGATCAAGCATTTTGCACGATCTCTGCTCTTGCTAGGGTGTGTGTGAATGTGTGTGGCTGATCCGGAAAGAGTTTGGTCGTCGGGCGGACGGCAAACGGCTGTTGAAGTACGTCTTTCATGCGTAGGGTTGGTATGTGTCTGGTGAAACCCGGTATTGGGCCCTGATCTCCCGCTGGGAAGTCTGGGTTGCCTCTCAGAGGGAGTAGTGGGCCTGGATCCGTCGTTAGGTATTGTTTCGTGCCATGTCTGTGCCAGATCCGCATGGTCACTGTCACAAACGGGTTCAGTACTTGTTTGTGTCGGTATGCTGCTTTCATGATCCATGGCAAGGTCCTTAGGTCACAGTTGGTAGTGTCTGATTGCAGCTGGGTCCATATTTTCATGCTGCCCTCCACTGACCAGCCTAGGATCCTATTAAGGTGCGTTGCCTGGTAATATTTTTCTAAATCGGGGAGCGCCAGCCTCCCTCTGAGTTAGGGCAGCGTCAATTGGGAATGAGCTATGGGCGGGGATCTGCCCTTCCATACGAACTTGCGGACCTCCAACTTCAGGGTAGAGAAAAATGAATCAGGAGCCAGTATCGGCACTGTCTGGAATATGAAGAGGAGTTTAGGTAACAGCGTCATCTTGATCGCGTTCACCCTGCCCAGCCAGGAGATGTAGTATGAGTTCCATGTGCGTAGTTCTTCGATCGCCTTTTTTTGGATAGGGATGTAGTTATGGGCATATAGATCTGCCGGGTTCGGTGTAAGCCAGACTCCCAGGTATCGCATGTGTTGGCCGCACCAGCGATATGGGTAGTGTCGCTGGAGTGTCTGTCTGATTGTGTGATTGATGGAGAGACCTAGGATCTCTCACTTCGAAAAGTTAATTTGGAGGTTCGAAACTCGGCCATATGTTTCGAATTCCGACTGGATGGCTTGCAAGGTCGAATCTGGGGTCGTGACTATGAATAGGAGGTCGTCTGCGTAGGCCAGGGTTTTGTGGTGTGTCCGTCCTATTTTCATCCCCTGTATGTCGTCATTATGTCTGATTCGGCTTAGGAAGGGTTCTAGTGTCAGTGCAAAGAGCAGGGGTGATAGCGGGCAGCTCTGCCTGGTCCCATTACAAAGCGGTTTTGGACATCGCAGGGTGCCCTTTCAGTCACTATAGGAGAGAGACCTGGGTAAAAGTCTAGATGAGTAACAATGGAAGCGGATTTTTGCGAAGTATCACACTGTATCAAAAGGTATACTGATAAATAAAAATAGCCAAAAAGCATATCCACGTGGTATATGGACCCAGTACGGCTCAGCCACTTTAACTAGGTGTCTCTACTCTGTGTTTTCAAGGCTGTGGTTCGAGGGGCATATTCTTCTATATTTGGTGGATGTGATAAGGTTGTTGTCCTTTGGATGGAGATGATCTCCTTAATCATCTTTGTTATTTAAAGGACCACTATAGTGCCAGGAAAACATACTCGTTTCCCTGGCACTATAGTGCCCTGAGGGTGCCCCCACCTTTAGGGTCCCCTTCCCACCGGGCTGGATAGAGAGGAAGGGGTTAAACTTACCTCTTTCTCCAGCGCCGGACGGGGAGCTCTCCTCCTTCTCTCCTCCCTCGCGCATTCAGCCAGTCCATAGGAAAGCATTCTCAATGCTTTCCTATGGATGCTGGCGTCTTCTCACTGTGATTTTCACAGTGAGAAACGCAGAAGCCCCCAATGAGACAGCCACTAGAGGCTGGATTAACCCTAACATAAACATAACAGTTTTTCTGAAACTGCTATGTTTGTAGAAAAAAGGGTTAACCCTAGATGGACCAGGCACCCAGACCACCTCATTAAGCTGAAGTGGTCTGGGTGCCTATAGTGGTCCTTTAACTTTTGGTCCCTGATCCTGCTTGGTACTACGCCTATAATTCATCTGCTTGGTAGTATGCTTACAGTTCAACTGTTGTTAAAATCAGTTCTGAAATTCTCCATAAAGATTTGTACAGCGACTCGTTTGTGTTCCGCACATATTTAGAAGACGTTTTTACCAGATCTAGGAAGAAATTACCTCTGACTTGCCGGGTAACCTTGCAACTCAGAATAAAATCTGGTTTCTCTGGAGGCAATACCTTGGTACAATCCAGACATCAGCTGAGATCTAACTGGAAGAGGGATAATTTTCCCCCTCTTTCTTTTCCTAATTCGTGTAATTGAAGTTGTTATAGTGCCTACAGTACATTTCCCCTTGTAATAACTTCCAAAATGTTTTAGTTTAATAGTTAGAAGGCTTACAAGCAGGATTTCAAGACACCTCCACACTCAGTGGATAGGAAGGCTGAAACTGTTACTACCCGGCTGTCAGACTCAGGCATACCTGTGACGTGTAGTGCCGTCACGTCTTGTCAAAGTGGATTATTGCATTCAATGATTTTCTATGACAAGAGAATCATAGGTGATTACAGCAAGCACTACACAGATTACAGCAAGCACTTCACGTGCATCTACCGTATGTTCAATGAGGAGCATTGGATAGGACTGTTCTACTGGAGGTACGCCAACAGGATGATGTCACACAAGGAGGAGCAGGCAGCAGCACCAAAGAAGACTCAGCGATGGAGAAAAGGTAATTAAAAATGTTTTTATATATATATATATTTTATTTTTAGAGCACACAAGGGAAAGGGAGGCTAAGACTAGCTAGGAACAGGTAAACTATTGCATTAGGATACAGATTTGTTCCTTTAAATGCATGTGTGTTTTCATATTTTTTTTTGGGGGGGGGAGCAATGGAGTATCCCTTTAATTTCTTCTTACCTCTGTCCTCAGATGTTCTAGAGGGTGAGTACATGGGTCACCCCGTGGCCATCAAGAATATTAAGTGTGATGTCACCGCACAGAATTTCTTGGCTGAAACAACAACAATGACGTAAGTGTGCAGTACATCACCCCCAGAACATGCAGATTTAATATCAAGCTTATGATTTACGGATGATGACTTATTTAGAATTTGTCAGTTCTACAATGAAATGACAAAAGCAATGTTTACTGTTCCTGAACACACAATTTTTGTGACCATAAAATTTGATAAGAAATAATACAATATGTTTTAGAAAACTTCAAACAAATATATAGATAGTCAAAAGCTCTATAATTTTGTTATGTCACTGTTAATCTGTCACTAACGGATTTAAAGAACACTCCAAGCACCATAACCACAACAGCACTATTAGCTTTATGACTGAGAACGATCAGCTGATGCTTTCAGGCTACGAGCTGGCCTTGCACTACAGGGTTTAGCTTAGGAGAACTAACAGAAGCTTCAAGCAAGAGAGAAGTAAGGAGCAGACCCTGACAGACCCCAAATAAAAAGTCAAACCATGCCATGCGTATTGTAATGGTTATGACTTTTGGAGTGTCCTTTTAAATACGTTTTGAATATTCTAGCTGTTGGATTACAATGATTATATCTGTTTCTGTCTGTCCAGGAAACTACAGCACAAAAATCTGGTCAATTTGATGGGAGTTATCTTACACAACGGACTGTATTTAGTAATGGAACTAATGAGCAAGGTATGTTGCAAGAATAGAGCAAGACATGGTTGCTTGATTGGGCACAAAACTGTAACAACTGTTGGTTCATTTTCTCTTTTACAGGGAAATCTGGTGAACTACCTGCGGTCCCGCGGACGGAGTATGGTCTCGCCCCAGCAACTTCTCCGCTTCTCACTGTGAGTAAACCCAATAGTAAATGGGGTCTAAATTAACCACTAAACACCAATTTTATTGTTTTAACTGTCAATGAAATACACAAATATAAAACTTGTTTATAGAAAGAGAAGAGTGAATGGCGCTTACACAATAAAATAAAATAAAATAAACACAGAACGGTGGTGAAATGGTAAGTGTTCCCCAACACCTCAAGCACGAAATATAGAATGGAGGCACTGAATAATCAGATGCCAAATCCACACACGACTCTCTGTGTACCAAATAACAATAAATAAATATGATACTTATACATATACAGGTATATATCAAAGATATTCCATGTAGTGGAGTCCTATAATGATAAAGAACAGTACATAGTATAGACTGTATATATAAAATAAAAAAGTAAAGATAAATGAATCCACTCACGGATTACAGAGCCGTGCCATGCTCTGTATATAATGCCCTAGGGTGCCTCAGTAGGCTAAACGGAGAATCTCAGCGATATCCCCCAGAGTCAGGAGAAGCAGCAATGATGGTAAAAGATGAACAAATTTATTGTAAATAAAAATATAAAAACAACTGTGTGAATTACATACAATAATACACAGAGTAATAATAATGCAGACGCGTTTCAACTCAGTCCGAGTTTTCTTCAGTGCATAGGAGTTCATCTAGCTGCCTTTCCTTTTAAATCCGCCGCTTCTGTGGTTGCCAATCACGTGGGCGGAAGTTCGGCTTGCCGGTGTCTGATGTCACTTCCGGTTTTCCGGCGCTCAAATACAAGAGTATTGTGCAATATAATACAAGTATATATCACATATATGAAATGTGATATATACTTGTATTATATTGCACAATACTCTTGTATTTTTCCTTTGCAAGAGATTTTTATAGGTATTGCTGGCATTATCCATATACACAATTGTGTGATACTACTGTTTAATCTGTATATATATGCATTTTATAAGTTTTTATAGATGCCCATTTACAAAATGGAAGCTTCTGCTTCAATTGGGCAAACAACTTGTAATGAGTCAAGCCCATGAAATGAGCGCCGGAAAACCGGAAGTGACATCAGACACCGGCAAGCCGAACTTCCGCCCACGTGATCGGCAACCACAGAAGCGGACGATTTAAAAGGAAAAGCAGCTAGACGAACTCCTATGCACTGAAGAAAACTCGTCTGCATTATTATTACTCTGTGTATTATTATTTGTAATTTACACAGTTGTTTTTATATTTTTATTTACACAGAGAGTGGTGTGTGGATTTGGCATCTGATTATTCAGTGCCTCCATTCTATAAAACTTGTTTCGGCCTCAAAGGCAAATGAGGTAAGAAAACCTTGTTCTTTCTGGGTGTTGCAGATCCTAAAATCCACAGATTCTTAATGTGTCCAGAAGGTATTGGGGAGGGAGGAGCCTTACCTGCAAGCTGACACGTTTACAGGGCTCCTATTCAATCTGATTTTCCCCAAACAATACAAGTTTCTAATGCTTACATGCGCACCAAATTGCACTACCCAAGTTAGGGGGGCCATGATGAGTTCCCAGATACCTGATTCAAGTATTTCTGTAAATGGGAGTCCGAGATGGCTTACCGTAGCCTGCAGGTCGCGGAGCTGGGGAGAGGTGGCCGCTCTCCTCACCCTGATACTGGCGGTGCGGACACACAGATCTCCTATCCCCCCCTCTATGGGCTAGTGGGGGGTATCCCGGTCCACTTCTGGGAGGCAACCCAGGAGACAAGGACAAGCAAGCCAATCCCGGGTGAGCGGCATGCAAACATTGAGAAGCAGAAAATGGTGGATGCAATGTGCTCCCTCGAAAGCTGGGACATCAAGGCCAGGCTGAACAGCATATTTGCTGTCTTCTGGAGAAAACTAGAACTCTGGGAGCAGCGGGTTCGAAAGCAAAAAGCAGGAGAACACCTTCCTAAGTAACTGTCGCCACGATCCCGTTGCAGACCCATGGTTCTTAAAGTGACCAGTGCTCGAATATGGTGGCGGACGAGACTCAGCTTAACGAGATCTCATGCTACTCATCTAACCCCAAAATCTGCTAGACCACACAGCAAGAGAGTGGCTGTTCACCTTGATCCACGCAGCCTGCTACAACCTGAATCGGTTGTTCTGGAGAACCTATACCCCAACACACTCTGGGTATTGAGACCACTCACGATGCTTGCCTTATTCCTACAACATGCCAGCAGGTTTATCCTTGGGCAGACTACTGGGCCTGGCGTTAAGACTCTCCTGGCTGGATTCTGGTTTGCCCCAGCTGGGCATTGGCTGACTTCAGGACTGACCTTAGGAATTAAGCATGGTACCTCCACATTGCACCCACAGTACCTGCAGCATGAAGGAAGCGTATCATTTGTTTTGTTTCCCCTCTCTTGTAGCCCCATGCAACAAAAGCACAGCTTAGTGGAAAGGGGCCTTGACAGGGGTTAGGAGGCGGGCATAGGAGGAAGCTAATGGGATTGGTTAATGGAGGGTTAAGGGGCTGGGCTATATAAGTAGGCAGACATCTTGGAAAAATCACTTTTAACTTGCCTACCTGGCTGAGTTTGTCCGATCCTCCCTTCCTGGGTTGTTGGCATAGTGGGGTTCCCGTTTTGTCACAGCGGCGGGATAGGGAGCTCTAGGAGAGGAAATAGGCTCCCCAGTAGGAAGGTTATGTTAATGGTTATTGGTAGTGATGTCCCGAACGGTTCGCTGGCGAATAGTTCCTGGCGAACATCGCTTGTTCGCGTTCACCACGGACGGCGAACATATGCGCTGTTCGGTCCGCCCCCTATTCGTCATCATTGAGTAAACTTTGACCCTGTACCTCACAGTCAGCAGACACATTCCAGCCAATCAGCAGCAGACCCTCCTCCCAGACCCTCCCACATCCTGGACAGCATCAATTTTACATTCATTGTGAAGCTGCATTCTTAGTGAGAGGAGGGACAGTGTAGCTGCTGCTGATTTGATAGGGAAATTGATAGCCAGGCTAGTGTATTCAGTGTCCACTACAGTCCTGAAGGACTTATCTGATCTCTCTGACCTCACTACCCCCACACCCTCAGCCTCACTACCCCCACACCCCAGCCTCACTACCCCCACCACCCTCAGCCCCACTACCCCCACACCCTCAGCCTCACTACCACCCCACCACCCTCAGCATCACTACCCCCCCAACCACCCTCGGCATCACCACCCCCAACCATGCTCAGCCTCACTACCCCAACCACCCTCAACCTCACTACCTCCACACCACCCTCAGCATCACCACCAACAGCCTCACTACCCCCACACCACCCTCAGCATCCACCACCCCACCCACCCTCAGCATCACCACCCTCCGCATCACCACCCCCAACCACCCACAGCTTCCACCCACCACCCTCAGCATCACCAGCCCCCACCACCCTCTGCCTCCCCCCACTACCCTCAGCATCACCACCCTCACCCCCCAGAACTGACTTTCTTTGTTGGGTTTAATGGCAGAAAGTGGAAACTTTAGCTGATGCAAATGATATATTGGGTACATGAACTTAGCCATCGAACCATGCATTGTGTTGCTGTAATAATTGAACTAACCCTTAAATCTATACAAATATCAACCTATTTAGTATCACAAAATATAGATTATTTGTAGTATCTTGTTAGTTATGATAAAGTAAAAGGTTTCATCATTGGTCGTCATGTGAATATGACTCATGAGGCCAGAACCTAAAGAAATTTTGTGTGATAAGGAAAGGGTCTTAATTGCCATCTCTACCACGTAGGACAGTGATGGCTAACCTTGACACCATAAATAGTTTCTGGACCACATTTCCCATGATTCTCAGCTAGCTTTTAGAGTCTAAAAGCTAGCTGAGAATCATGGGAAATGTAGTCCACTATTTTAGGTGCCACCCAAGGTAGGTTGCCAAGCATAAAGTCCCCAATAGTTAGGGATCCAGACCCAGAAATGGTTTTAGTTATTTATTTTTTACATTGTTTCCCCATGTGTAATTGTAAGAAAATGAGTACACTATGCAGCGGAAACCGAGTTTACAGGGAAAAATCAGCTTAGAAACATGGAGCTAGTTCTAAACACATACGCATGGATCTCTGGTCAACTCCTTATCTGCTTATAGTTTAGAAAATAAACCCGACAGTCTGTAGCAGACATCTCCAAATTACAAACACTGACTTATTAATATTAGTGCTCCTACGTCAGTGATGGCTAACCTTGACGCCATAAATTGTTTCTGGACTACATTTCCCATGATTCTCAGCTAGCTTTTAGACTCTAATAGCTACTCTATAGAAACACTATTCTTCTGTGGAGCAACTCTCTATAGGTGCAGTGAATAATATACCTAACAAAGGCAGGCTACATCATACTTCCTCGGATGAGAATGCTGCTACACCAGAAAATAAGAGTGATATTAAAGCCCTCCTTTGTGAATTCACTTGCTTCAGGAAGAATTAAGGTGGAAGTAGAGGAACCTTTAGATCTTAAGTCCTTCAGACCTCCCTTGTCTAAGCGCTAGAGCACATCTCAGGCCCAAGCTGACATGGCCCAGACAATGAGTCCATTGAAAATCCACTTTTTTTAAACGCCATTTTTTTTTATCACCTCTTGCCTTCCACACAGACCAAAGGACTTCTCCTGGGTGGCTTTTATAGGATTCACAAATCTGCCCAGGCTCCCATCTCTATTTCTAGAAACCTCATTAACTTTGTTAATACTTTGATAAAACAGCTGGTCTGGCAGCTTTGAGAGATTCCCTCGTACTGGACTTTGAATCCTGCTCGCTATATTTTTATGCAGACCTATCCAGTTACAAACCACTATGGATGCTGTTAATGTTCTTCAGGAGCATGGTTCCTTATCGTGCCCTTATTGTTGGGACACTTTCCTATCTCTAATTGTCACTAAGGATTGGACAGTACTCAAACTAGTTAATGTGCTAATTACTCTTTTAGCTTCCTTGAGCCTTAGGCATCATTCAAGCTGAGGCTCCTAGGCCAGCCAATACCTCCA